TAAGGGCTGGACCCCATTCAAGTCAGTTGGGGTCTTTTTCCTAGGAATCTCGAATGTACTAGAAAAACATTTATTTTTTCATGTGATAGATATCTTCAGGTCTGTCAAAGGAAAATGTAAGAAGTGGCTTGTTACATAGGAAATTTAATTGGAGAGCACTTTGCTCTTGATGATAGAAAAAGGAGGAGCAGCACAGTAATAAGGGAAAGGTTGTGCTTGAAAAGTTAAATCAAGACTCCTTTCAAGTTCAGTGTGGTATCAGCTGGTTAAGGTCAGGCTGTGCTGGTTTCCCCCCAGTTAAGCAGTCCCTGAGCTATGTGTAGCCCTCCCGCCTTGTGGTCTCTGTACATCAGGAATGGTGAAAAACAACTTAGGGAGGACATCCAGACTTGTGTTTTGAATAGCTTGAAATGTTCTTATGATATACATATATAAGTAGAGATATCAGATAGGCATTGAATGTGGGCATTTGAGACTATTTTGAATGAAAATATAAATTTGGACTTAACCTCATTAGGGCAAATCTAAAATTCTACCACTTAACTTTCCTTTCCTACATTGAGCCTATAGTTTTTATTATGTGATTTTTTTATAATGAGATTTCTTCTGGAACAAACTAGTGCAATGCTGTACCAGTTTACCAATTGTACCAATTTACCTTCTCCATGGAAATGTATGACAGTTCTTATTTCTGCGCATCATTAACACTATTATTCTAAAAATATTTGCTAATTCTATACATAAAGATAATGAAACATTGTTGCAATCTGTATTTCTGTGATTGTTAATATTGAACACTTTTCAGGTATTTATTGGTCATTTGTATTTCTTCTTTACCAAATTGCCTCTTCTGGGGATTTTCTCTGAGGAATTCAATTTTTAAGTTAATTACTTGTGAAAGCTTTTTTTTTTTTTTTTAACATAGCAAAACCATTGTTCCTATAGATGCCATTTATGTTAAAACATTTTTCCCAGCTGTCATTTTACTTTTAATAATTTTCTTATTGTTGTTGCTTTAAACTGAACATTTAAAAATTTTTGTAGTTTAATCAATCATCCTATTATTTTCCTTTAGGATTTTCCAATAAAGTTATCCACCAAATATTATTTTAATATTTACTTGTTTTCTACTATATTAATGATTTCTTTGAAACATTTAGTGCAACTCAGATTTACTTTCATAGGTAGATGAGACCAAATTCTATTCATTTTTTCCAAGTAGCTAAACATCATTCTAGCACAATATGGTTCTGTTATGCATGTTTGTTCTTGCTAGCAATTTAGGTCACTTACTTACATAGAGAAAATAACATACCTAAATAGTTTAACATGAATCTGCCTCTAAAGGGATTACAATATTTAGTGATGATTTGGAAAAGGTGTACTGTACTCTCTGGTCTTTGAGAGTAAAAATAAAGCCACTTAACTCTATTCTTCCCTGACTGTTTAACTGCTATTTCTACCTTCTCTTAGTAGGAGATCAGCCTCCCAGAGGCCATAGTGAGAAACTACTGGTCAATGTCCTATAGTCTCAGCTTTCCAACATCTCTAACTTAACCCTTTCCCTTCCTGTTCCCTCTGTTGGTACAAGATGAGACCAGGCACATATTTTTCAGACTCTAAGTTGCTTCTTATGAGTTACTCCTCTGTGGGAAGCAAAATTTGGAAATAAGAACAGTAGGTCCATTTCTCATTTCTTTGGAACATATTCTATTTCTATTAAAATATTTTTTATTTTATGCATTTTTTTCTTTATAGTGTCCCTATAAATCTAGAACAAAAAATCATTAATCTTCTTGTAGTGGATTAAATATTTATAGTTCTATTTTATGAAAGTAGCATAGCCCAGAAGTAAATGTAATTATTTATTCATTATATCTATGACTACCTCTCTTTGTATAGCTAGCAAATGAAAAATAGCAAAATCTGGTTAGCAATAAGGGAATCCTGTACAGTGTTTTATAGAGAACACTGGGCAAATAAGCATTTGTAGTTCATAGATACCATGAAGATAATGTTTATAAAATAATATTTTCTTTTCCTTTCATAGTCTTGGATTCAGAGAACGTTGATGGCTTTCAAAGTGATTATTGTCCATTACAAATCTGATGATATCTTCTTCAGGTGAGTGTTTTCTATTCCATCCTTTTCACTTTTTTTTCCTTTGTAACCTTTGTTAATTTACCCACCCATTAACAATTCACTGAAATGTGGATTCTCTTTCTCTCTCTCTCTCTTTTTTTTTTTTTTTGTCATTTTACATCTTTTCTACAATGGGAGTTTATTACTCAAAGTATTTGAAAAGAGAAAAAAAAACCAAAAAGATAATTCACTAACTGTTCCAGAATATATTATCATTCTATCTCTAGGCACTTGCTGTAAAGAATGAGCAGAAAAAGCAAAATTTCATGTTACATTAGGAAGCAAGATCAAGAGAGACTTGGAGCTCTTTGTGGTCTATTTTTTTAAAATAGTTTAGAGCAAAGATCTTATGCTGAGGTTCAGAAGTGACTTTGTGATGTGGAAGGAAGGAAAGGCATGAGTTTCTAAGTATTTTAAAACCCACTGCAAAATTTGGCTTCATCTGATTATTTTTTGGAGCGGGAAGGAGTTTTGTAGATTTGATCATGTATTCACAGGCATCTGTGACCACAAAATAGTGAAGAACCACTAATACAGGGTAACTAGAGTTATAATAAATAGACATATGCTTTTTTTGAGTCCTGTAAGGAAATTGAATTTAAACAAGATATTTCTTTTCCTTTATTTTCTTTGGCTTAATCCCCCCTTTGATGAATTTAATATCATTAGAGGATTTTTTTTTTCTGAAACTTAACAGAAATGAACAACTTAGAAAATACTTTGAGCTCCCTGGACTCGTGAATCAGCTGAAGGGTGCTAGAAGTATTCAGTATAATCTTTCAGAAAAGGAGGGGACAAGGCAGCAATCAGCAAAGTGGAAAAGTACTTTTCTCTCTCTGAGCCTGTGCCCTGCCTCACCAGCTGCTGTTGTCGTTCTGGAGGCTGAGAAGCCCAACAGATTTAGCATAAAGAAGTTTAACTGCCAAGCATCATGGAAAAACCAGAATCCTTGCAGGATGTTCAAATCCCCTACCTAAGTCCGCAAGAGGAGGGCATACAGTAGGAGCATGAGCCAACAAAAAATACAAGCTGAATTCCCAGTAGGTCCAATGCCTAGTGCACACTTCATCTCTCAACACCTGTTTTTATGAACACTTCAGAGAGAAATGTGGAAAGCACTCATAATGCACCCTGCAAATTCTGCCACAACCATGACATTCTGGCAGAAGCAGAAAGGGGAAATGAACTCCCCAGGGGGCATTCAGCTTAGGGGTTAAGTTTGATGATCACTGTATATCTCCTGTCACCTGTTTACCCATTCTATTATAGGACTCACGGACTTATACATAAATCTTGAAATCCATTTTTAACCTTCTTTAAAAATACATGGGTCATCAGGTCAAGTATATTTCAGCTCTTTCCTGTGAAATTTATTTCTAAATTGTTTACTTTCTTTCCATAAATGTTTTCAAATATTGTAAGTCCTGAACATCAGTTGTAGATGTATTTCTCAAATTAAATTTATATCCCTCTTTCTTTGGCTCTCATGATGACCTTTGGGAACTTTCAGATTAAAATACAATCAATATCTCAATATCTCAAATCAATATCACTAAGAGATCACAGGACAGGTAACTATTTTAAATTTTCTCCATATTTAGCAAATACAGAGTAGTTTATACAGATTATCTTTGCAAAAAAAAGTATTTTGTATTTAGAGAAGCTTATGGGAGAAGAGGTAATGTATTACTTGGGTCCATATTTTAATAAAGAGGATTAATGTAAATTCTGGATTTCAATTAAAATATGTCAAAAGAAGTCTGTTAGAATGATTATTAGGTGCTAAATAAACACAGCCTCCACAGAGGAAGACCAAGATCCTCAGAGCAAAGAAGAATCTGCTGCTTCTGTCTAACTTTGATTCTAGTTATTTAGGGGTTTTGACAGATTCTGTGATATTAGCCAAAACAAAAATATTGGGATTGGCTTTGTTCTCTAATATGATTTTTTTTTTCCAGATGAAAGAACTAAAGTAAACCACAAAGCTAAATAGTGGGCAAAGGATTTGTAAAATTCTGAATTTAGGCATAGTTATGGAAAAAGTTGACTTCAGGTTAATTGCACAAAAGATTGAATAATGTTTCTCTATGATTCTACACCCGCATGACTCCTTCAGAATTCTCCTCCTGCTCTTCCTCCTCCTCCTCCTCCTCCTCCTCCTCCTTCTTTTTTTTTTTGTGGTACTGACATGCTAGACATAGACTCACTAAAGTTGCCCAGGCTAGCCTTGAACTTTGATCCTCTTTCCTCAGGTTCTTGAGTTACTGGGACTACAGGCAAGCACCACTTCACCAGGCTCCTTCAGTGTTTTTATAAACAATTCACTTGTGTCTTTTTTTTTCTCATTTTAAAGTACAGATTCTGCCTGCAAATCGACTAGTTATAATTATGGCAAACAAACAAACAAACAAACAAACACACTGATCTTTCTATTATAGGGAGAAAATGTGGAAGTGGTCTCTAGAAGCATCATCTTGATATATAAAAGATAACATTATTATCACAGGGGAAAAGATGGTAGCAATATTGGGCCAGCATACTAATACTATATGCATATGTCATCTTTTGTTCTGTATTTGCCTTTGAGAGTAAGCAAATGAATTTCTCAATATCTCACCTCAAGCTTCTTAGGTTATTACATTGAGGCAAAATACTTTTGCAAATAAGATATTTAAGATTTTTTAATGTAAATGGAGAACAAAGCTAATGGTTTTTATAGAATGTATAATAGACAAGAAGGAAGAGATCAAACTATTTTATTGTTTTAGCTAAAATGAAACAAAGTTAGAGAAAGATACAAATCACTCAATTCAATTGTAAAATAATTCCACAAAATAAAGTTGAATTGAAGCATAAATTTCTGCATATAGATTACATATTTGCAGGCTTACAGATTTTTATCTGAGGCTTTAGGACCTAAAATTAATGTTGTTTTAGTTCTATAGATTAAATGTTGCAGGCATACTATCTTGTTAATATTGAAATAAACTTGTTTCCTAAAAATCATTATTTTACTGGATCATGTCAGCTGCAGGACCGTCTCTTGAGAGAGGATAACCTCCTTCTTAWGCCAATCAGAACGAAGCTCTCACAGTCCTGTCCTTCAGAGGCTGGGGTGGTCGGTTGTTGTGCTGTATAGGGACAGGGTTTTCTCCTTCAGCATTTGAAAGAAGACTGCGGAACTGTGCCAGCTGGAAGGATGAAATATAAAAGAATCAAAAGCAAGTAAGTCACACAAAGCACTTTCCTTCCATTATAATGAACACACTGTTATTTAGAAAACTGAATATTTAGAAAACTGCAGTATTTCACCATTGGGAATCGAGGAAGACCAAGATCCATTATGGTCCTTTAAACTAGGTATTTTGCTTAAATTATCAATGATTGGGTTACAGAACACTAACTTTCTCACTTGTCAACTGGGGTACTTTGAGCAAGTGACATATACTTGGTGCCTCACTTTTAATATAGTACCTACTTCACTGGGTTGATGTAAAGATTAAATGGGCCCATACATGGATAGTACTTAAATGTGCTCAATACTAGAGTACCTACTATGTGCTTGATAAATGTCAGAGAGCAATAGATACAAGGCTTGTCCTGCATGTGTATTATGAGAATTGTCTGACAGAACACATGCAAGACACCTAATAAAAATATTGTTCAATCARTGATGATTCTTATCATCATCATTGTAAAAAATAATTAAAGAAACATTTTTAATATTTAAAAACTTGAGAGTAGTGGGAGTTCTGAATTCCACATTTTCTATTTTATGCACAAAGTAAAAAAAGTATAATAAACATGCTTTTTTGGATAATTCAGAAGAGCTATGCCAGAAATGAATCTTTTTCAGTTGGAAAAGAAAATAAACTCCTCAGAAACCTGATTGAAATTATAATAGCTCCAGCTGGCACTGTCAATTGAAGAGATAGTTCTGCTTTGCACTCCCCGTTCCCACTCATTCACTTGGATACACTACCTGTTCTGGGCTGATGCTGATGGTCTCTCTACAGATGAGCCAGGTTACACTCTCATGGAGAGGAGGATGAGTCAGAGAGCCAGCATAGGTCCAGTAATCCAGGGAAGAGGGAAGGAGAGTGGAGGGGTCAAAATTTGTAAACGGGGCTCGTTTGCCCTGGGAAAAAAAGGAAAAACTTGTATCATTATTTTGTGATATAATATAGTTATATCAATGTTACACATATGTACTATTTACCTTGTTATATATTATCTAGAGATTTTAGCTAAGAGTCGAATTGACTTTCTATATTTTATTTCCTGACTGGTATGTTTGTGGATATACAAACTAAAAACAATGGAAAAGGCAGAAGATGAACTATATAGATGTTTTAACTAAGAAATTTTCATCTTCATTTAATTGAAGATAAACAAAAGTGCAAAAACTTTTTACAATCTATGATCATCAAAAAATATTTAATTTCCAATATAAAGCATTTCTGTGTCTCTAGAAATGATGCTAGATTTTGTTCTAGAGACAGAGATATTTATTGACATGCAAATTGGTAATATATTAGTCTTCTCCCAGTTTCTTTTTGATTGTTTTTTATTTGTATGTGAAATGAATTGATATTTATATGCTAACCTTTTATGTATAGGCATTTTTGCCAGACTTTTATATCTGTTCTGTTTTTTAGCTGATTCTTTTGAATTTTCAGGGTAAATGTCAATTATTATATCATTTGTCCATAATAATAGTTTTATCTTTGCTTTCCCAATATTCATCCCAATATTTGCCCTTATTTCTTTACTATTATATTGATTCAGACTTTTAATTATGATGTTTAATTGTGATGGTCACAGTTGGCACCCTGTGACCATCACAATTAAACATCATAATAAAATTTAAAATCTTTCTTCATTGAAGTAGAAATGCTTCAATTGTTTTAAAATTAAGTTTGATGTTTGATTTGTTTCTAGGTAATAATCCTTTTTAAGTTTTTATTAGTACATCATAATTATATATAATAGTGAGCAATATTCTTCATCAAATTCTAAAAGTTTTCATTTATTTTGTTTTATCCTCAAGAATGGGTATGGAGTGGGTTATGAACTCCCAATTTTACCCCAAATGCAGATTGCAGAATCACATCTGTTACACATCCACAATTTTACATAATGCCCAATTAGTAATTGTTGTATTCTGCTACCTTTCCTATCCCCTACTATCCCCCCTAATGTATGAAATATGATATGTCAAGAGCTTTGTAATGTTGTGAACAACCAATAAAAATTAAAAAAAGAAAAAAAAAAGAATGGGTATGGAGGTGGGTATGGTGGCAAATGCCTGTAATTCCAGCAGCATGGGAGGCAGAGGCAGGAGTTTCATGAGTTCAAAGTCAGCCTCAGCAATTTAGTGAGGCCTTAAGCAATTTGGCAAAATCCTGCCTCTATAAAAATATATATAAAAAAGTACTGGGGATGTGGCTCAGTGATTGAGTGCTTCTGGGTTTAATCCCTGGTACCCCCCCAAAATTCAATACCCATTCTTTTTCTTCTTTTTTTTTTTTTWAAAATCTAATGCTTTTCAAGCATGTAACAAGTTGGTGATATAATTTCCATCTTTAATTTGTTTATATAATGAATTATATTTAGAGATTTTCTAATATTAATCACATTTCTGGGATAAACTCTACTAGTTCAGAAACATTACTCTCTTGATACAATGTTGAAGTTGATTTGCTGTAACTAATTTTAAGATTTCTTTTATCTATATTCCTAAGAAAGATTATCTTACAGTTTTCTTTTTGCATTATTTTTATCTGGTTTTGGTATTAAGTGTAATTAAAATTGCTGAGGTGTATTTTGTCTGTTTCCTCACCTAGGCAACTGATACACAATTGTTTCTTAAAGGTTGAGGAATATTTTTTTCCCTAAAATGATATAGGTTCAGAGTTTTCTTTTAATGAATATTTTTGACAATCTTTTTTATTTATTTTTAGGCTTTTGGTCYATGTAGGTTTTCTAGCACCCTTTGAGTCAGTTCTCTTCATTTTTTCACAGATCATCCATTTTATATGAATTTTCAAATTTACTGGCATGATGTCATATTTTTTTCTTTTATATCTTCAGTTATATCCTCTTTTTTATTTTTAATAATATTTTGTAATGTTCCACTTTTCCACTACCAAAGTTGCCAAAATGTACTATTTTTTGTTGGTTATTCTAAAGAATCAACTTTTTTTTGTTGATGAAAATTTATTTTCTATTTAGTCATCATTTTTCTTTATTATTTTATTATTTTGTACTTTGATATTTATTCATTATGCCCTTATATTTTCTGTTCATATTTTAAAATATATCTTGGGTATTTTTTAATATTCTTTTTTTCTCTTTATAATATATTTATTTAGCTTTAATCTTTTTTGGAATTAGCACAAAACATACTTATTTTATATAAAAATATCAGAGTTCTCCACACTATGGGAAAAAAAGAAATCCCTGATTCTGTGGTTTATTTGCTGTTAAAGTGGTAAAGCTAAGGATGAATATTTCAAAAAATCCATTTTTTTAAACTTTAGTTGGGAATCATGATTATCAAACATTGCCCATTAATGGTATCTCTAAAGAATACTCTTCATGTCTAAGTTTTTGTACTTCTGAAAAAATATAGATATGTTTCATGAAGTAGAAAAACATTTACATTTCATTTGGGTTTAGTTTTTCAAGCAAATTTGGTTGACTCAGTAACCTGCTTTTSCATAGGCTTCATCCTGCTGAAACTGACAAATAATATGAAAATGAAACAAAACAAATCCTTGCACTGGGGTTTTTCTTAGACACAGACAATTTGTAAGTAGGACTTTGATTTTCAAATTAGCTTTTACACCAGTCTTCCTACTCCCACTTCAATAATCAATTAAATGATTTTTTTTTTTTTACTTCCCTGGATTCCTGTTCTCAGAATTTAACTTAGTTTATTTACCTTGGTTTTAACTGCATTTAGAGCCTCAAGTATTTTCTGGAGCTTTGGGTTGGCCTGACCAACCTGGAGATTAAAAAAAAAAAAAAGTGATAAAGATTATAATCATGAGAATACTGTTGAACTAAATCAATCCTTCTCCTCCCTCCCTCCCTCCCTTCTTCCCTCCCTTCCTTCTTTCCTTCCTTTCTTTATTTAATGTACTTCAGTAAATGAAGAGAGGTATAGTACTTTTCTGTATGCTTTAGGGGCAGAGATTCTGTTAGTGTTTGTCTTTGTAGGCCCTTGTACTCTATAAATTGTTCATCAGGTATACTGGCAGATAAAGTAGCAAACAGATCTTGTTTTAAATTAAATTATGAGCAAGATAATCAAAGCTATACAAGACAAAGTGGATATTTAGCAAAACTGTGATACAAAATCTTTTATTTTTGTCCTGTTCTATTAGTTATGATTGGCATGTCTTTGGCTTACTCTGAGTGCTCAATCAAGGTTAACTTGAATTATATAATTAATTTCAGAGTTATAAAACTTTTCAGGGACTCCAGAATAGAGGATTTGAGCAACATTCACTACTTTAATAATCTATTGAACTTTCTAGGGAAAATTCTCTTAATATTTCCTTCCTGATGAGATAGTAAATAAATAAATCCCTGTCTATGAGGTAGGAAGTTTAGAGAACAGGGATTTTGGTATAAGGAATCTGCTTATCTGTAGTTATAAGTAGAATAGGAATGTTCTAAAAAGAAGAACTCAAGTATCTTTTGCCTTCTGTCATCCTATTCTGAAGTCTGATTGGTAAGAAATAGCATTAGCAGAGCAGGGTGACTACCTGTAACTCACCTTCATCAGAATACCAATAATCGCCAAACCATCAGCCTTGGAGATTGCTTCTCTAATGCTAGGATACTTTGCAGAATTCCAATGAACAATGTGACACTAAAAACGACAATGTGGTTAGTTATTTATACAAAGGTAAAAGCAAAAAGGTAAGTTGCAAGTCAACTTGACCATATATGATAATGTGTTTAGCAGACAAAATACATGGGAACTTTTATCCGGTGAGTAGGAAGGTCTACATTCCACTCTTAGGAAGAGTGTACTGATGACAACTCCTAGGACCCATAAGTAAGATTTATTTTCCTACAATATCATCAACTATTCAATGTTAGTCCTTTAACAAAAAATCTCTCTCTGGCATGAAAAGATCAGGAAATCTGATTGACTAGCTCTAGGACAAAAACTGAAGTAATTTCCCTTCACATGAGGTAATTTGCAGTAACTTTGAAAGAAGGGCTGCCTGGCTTGCCTGGGAGCCATGGCCAATGACAGAATCTCTTGGGCACATCAGAACTCTTGATTCTCCCTTTCCAAACCTGCCTTATTTTCCCTTCGTAGGAAGAGGTAATACTACCCATCTAATTAATCAAAAAGTACCACAGTTATCATCAACTTCTTATTTTCTACATCATATCTCACAGATGATATCTCTTCACTTGATCATAACTTTGAGTCTTTGCATTGGCTGTTGATTTTCTCTGGGATTTCTTTCCTTATGGTCTTTGTATAGCAGACATTTGTCTTGAGTTAAGGCTGAATTCAGATACTACTCCACAGAGAATTCTTTTTTGATTATCCAATATAAAACGACCATAAATAATTTCTCGAAATACTGCTTATCTAATCTCTCTTCTTCCTTTGCTTCCTTCCTTTATACATTTTTCTTTATCAAAATGAAAGCTCTGATAGCAAGTATTTTCTGAAAATAATATCTTGTGTATGGCAAGTGCATTCTCTCTCTCTCTCTCTCTCTCTCTCTCTCTCTCTCTCTCTCTCGTGTGTATTTTTAAATTAATTAATTAATTAATTTTGGTACTAGGGATTGAACCCAGGGGAATTTTTATCACTGAGCTACATACCCAGCCCATTTTATCATTTTATATTTTATTTTGAGACAAGGTCTCACTAAGTTTCTTAGGACCTTTCAAAGTTGCTGAGACTGGCCTTGAACTTTCGATCTTCCTGCCTCAGCCTCCATAGTCACTGGGATTGCAGGCCTGTGCTACTATGTCCAGATCAATAACAATTTGTTGAAAGAAAAAAGAATAATTAGGACAATATATCAAAAGAGGTCACTTCCCAGTCATGCTTGAAGTGTCATCTTATTACTTAGAGTTTTCTCTGATGCTGCCAGTCTAGATTCTGTCTCTATCCTTGATTATTCTTACTTCTATATCCCCAGAGTGCTTTCTGAATATTCACACTGGCATTTACTACTACGTTTGTTTAATCATAATCACTTATGCATATCTGTCTTGCTTGAGGAGTACTTGCTTGTGTCTTATCTGCAAAAATGTAACACTGCTGAGCACTTTCAGTGTGAAAGGAGCTGGCCTAAGTGTGCCTTATATGGGTTTACTCATTTCTCTCTCTTCAACAATTGTTTCAGGAACATACTAATATATTATCTTCGCTCTCTAGATAAGAAGATTGGGACACACAGCAATTTCTCCCAAAGATGTACCACCAGTGAGTGGCAGAACTTTGATTTGAACTCTGGAAATCAGCTGAGGAGCTTGCATTCTTCACCCCAAGGCTGTGCTACCTCTTAACCTGGAGTGTGATAGGTACCCACTTGGGTTTATTGAATGACTTGTTGAACTTTGTGACTGTCTCTCATAATTAGCCTTGGTTTTATTTACTTTTCTCCATTTAGATGAGAGAATCAATGATTTAGATTTCTTGAATAATACCAAGGATCTTTCCAAAAACATAATACTAATTTAGATTCCTAATTCATTTGATTTTAGCCAACCTTCAATTTTTATGGGTGAGAAATGGCAGATGAACATTTAATAGATTTTATGCTGCATCAAAAGGTATCATCCAAACATTACAATAAAACACAAAGCAAGTTATATTTGTGTACAGTCCCCAAATCCTCTTTCATAATAAAAGATGCATTTACTCTCTACCCTCGCCATCTCTTTTGTGAAAATTTGTCCTGCATAATCACTTTCACTGGTCCATGAGATACAAGTATGATGCAATTAATTATTAAAGTATTTTTTTGTAAGAGAATAAGAACACAATGGAATAAAAATCAGAAGACATTATAATTATCCACCAATAGGGGCCAATTAAATAAATTCTGATGTATTTATGGAATTGAAATAATACACAGATGTTAAATGAGGTGTTAATAAACCTTTTGATTTGGAAAAATAATCATGATAATCTGCAAAGTGGGAAAAACACCAAGTTTCAAAAGTATATGTATTATAAAACTTATTTAATAAAAGTAAAGTTAACCTGTATATATGGGCATATATGTATTATGTATTTGCACATAACCTCCCTTTGAATCTTTCAGACCCTGGGTTGAATCTAATGCACATGTGCATATTTTTTTCTGTCGATACACAGATAATAATGTCTTGAAATGATCACAACCTCCCATATGAGGGCAGTTCAGGAAACGGTAGTCATTGGGTAGAGGCTGCTGCAGCTAGAACCTCACTAGGTGTGTGCTCCTCCCTGTGACCATTGCTGGGATTGAACTTGACCTCCTTGTAGAGACTTATTACTGAAGTGTTTCTGCCTGGCCACACCCAAAGGACAGGTGTGTTCCAAACTTGAAGTCTAAGTACAAAGAGAATAGTGATGTTCCCACTTAGGGTTAGAGTTTCAAAGGAAGCTGGGCCATCAGTGTTATGTTAGATCATGCTATTTTAGGCATTTTCAGAAGAGGTAAATTCTGGGCTCAGAGTGCTGCTCCAAGTTCAGCTATCCCTTTTCACATGAAAAATGTCCCTCAGTTGCCAAACATAGTGCTGCATCTGTTTGATTTTAATGGAGACTGGGAGTTCCTCACAGAGACCAGAATGCTCACTCCTTTGAAATCATTATGATGGTGACTTATGTAGTAGTGGAGCTACTTTGGGGAGTACTTGCAGTGTAAGTATCTCTTACTGAATTACATTACCTCTCCAGCATATTTGACTCCATCCACTGTGTGCTCAGAACCATACTCATTGGTACTGCCCCAGTGAAAATGGAACTGATTGAGTCTATAGCTGTCAGAGAGAGGACCACCTTTCAGCACTGGAAGAAAAGGGAACTACTGTTAGTTGGATGATCATAAATGCCAACTTCTTTGCACTTTTTAATATACCGACACAAATTTTTCTTTAGTAAAATGAAAGCAAACAGCACTGTCAAAGTTTTCATCTGATTTCTAATCCCTTCATCTAGGACAGTGGCATGTGTATGTATGGTGTATCTCTGGGTTTGGCTTGATAAGACAGAGTTCATGAGCTATAGACAGTTCCCAGCACAATTTTATCTATTTATACTTCCAAGAAAGTATACTGTGACATGAATGGATTGTATGATTAAGGGCTTTTCTTGAATCTCTAATTTGCAAGTTTATTCATTCCTTCTTTCAACAGAGATGGCATGCGTTGAAGGCTAGAGCAGTTTATTTTGAGTATCAAATTGCTTATCACATACTTTGTATTTAATCATGACACAACCATGCTAGCTTTATTGAGAATCCCTGGGCAGGGACCAAAAGAAAGCACTTGTGAGGCAAGGTTACTTGAAAAACTTTTATATCGAATGGCCTGCCATTCTGGAGAGTCTTTACAATCATAAGTACTTAAGCACACATGATACCAGACCTAATCTAATATTAATAAAAGACATAGCACCCAATGTACCTTAGGATTGGAACCTCATAGGGAAGTGCTAAAACAAATTTAGCTTTATCATCAGTAGAACTATCTTTGGGAATTGTTACAACTTATTCAACAAACATTTATGAAAAGCTGTCTATGTAGCAGGCAATATGACAGATTTCAGGGTAGGAGGATAACTCAGTTGTTTCCCATCTCTTTTCCCTACTGTGTTCACCCTCATCTCAATTAGAATATGTTTGTCTTTTTAGTTTTATATTCATAATTATTTGTTCATTAGACTTTTGGGGAAAAAGTAGTTTATACTGAGAGAGTGAAGTGAGCCTAAAGATCCTGGGATGGCCAGAGCAATAGGATGATGTCATTGAGGAGGAGAACAACTGCTGGGTGTGGTGGTGCATGCTTATAATCCCAGTAGCTCAGGAGTCTGAGACCGGAGGATTTCAAGTTCAAAGCCAGCCTCAGCAAAGGCAAGGTGCTAAACAACTCAGTGAGACCCTGTCTCTAAATAATAACACAAAATATGGCTGGAGATGGGGCTCAGAGGTTGAGTATCCCTGAGTTCAATCCCTGGTACCCTCCACCAAAATATCTTTACCACTTGGCCATTTTCTAGAAATCCAAAATGCCTCACCAGATAAAGGCAATGTTACACATTTGTACAAAATACTTGGGATGGCATTTTGTGTTTCTTAGCACTTTTGTTTCAATTTCCCCAATAGATTCTAAGGAAAAAATAACAGAATAATTTTAGGGCTCACCTGATTGGTTATCATTGTCATCAAAAGTCACATGGAAGGAGTGTCCCACATTGATAATTTCCTTGGCAGTTGCTGGATTGTAGGAGACACTGATGGGTTTCAGAGAGGTGTCACGTTTGGTTGCGCTGGTCTTGATGTCAATAGGAGACTGGTTATTTCCATTGGCAATGGGATACAACTTGCTCCATTGCTCAGGACCTACCAGGATGAATATATGTATACAATTAACACTTTACCGAATGCTTGATTCTAAGTTTGAGGACTCTACCTGTTTGCTTATTATAGTTTATTCAGCTGTCTTAAATGACATTCTGTTAATTGGAAATTCTGTCTTTGGCAGTGTCCCTTTTCTAAATTATACTGTAAAAGTTTGTCAGCATCAGTGATATAGGCTTATACACCTAGTCTATAAGATTAGACTATAAATATCTTACTATAAGCAATAGAGTGCAACAAGAATATATCAAATACCTTTCTTTTATAGATAGAGGTGCTCTAAAGAACAGCTAAAAGTATTTGCAAAGATATTGTAATTATTCAAAACAGTCAACTCAAACTATTGAGTTGTATATTATTTTAAAAACTTCATACCTCGTCTATTAGAAAAAGGAATAACTGTGGCTGTATATTATCTTAAAAACTTCATACCTCATCTATTAGAAAAAGGAATAAGCTCTTATTTTGATTTACAGGAAAAGAAGTACTCTTACCATTTTGGGCATCGTATCCCCAGTCTAAACTTGCCATGGTCTTCTAGTTTTCTTTCTCTGAAAACAAAAATAATACCTGGAATAACCAACTGCAACTTTGCAACTTTCACATGGAGTTTTTATAGAAACTTCTCTGCCCTTATGAGGCCACTATTTCATCATCTCTCTTGCTTATCAGGAGGTATATAAAAAAGGTGTTGTAACAAAAATGTCTACAAGGGTTAGCTCAGCTCTAATTATTTTATTTTACTATGAAAGATATCAAAATTATAGATTTTATTATGCCAAGTCCTCTTTCTTTTAGGCTATTCAAAAATATTGTCAAATGCAATTCTTTGTATTTTCCAAATTAAAAATATTTCATGTACTTAAGTTTTCCAATTTCACCCTTGCAATACTAGATACTGTAATCTAATAAGAAGATTAATTTGCATGTTTACAGGATGAACTGAGCTAGTATCATGAAATTAATTTAGAATTAGATAATGAAATTACTATTTGTAATATATATTATTCATAAAGCCCTTCATTCTGGAGCACTATTGGAATTCATAAATGGAGATTTATTAATACCAAAGTTAAATATTACATATATTTATTTTACATAAAATAAGTCTACTAGGATAAAAGCCTTTTTATTTGTTGTTCCATACAAATTTATACTTCATTTCAAGCTATTTTATTTTGCTAACACACTCTATAGAGTAAGAATTACCATTTTGTAGTAGAGAGATGTTCAGAACTTCACTTCAGCTAGCAAGAAGTCAAGACTTCTGCCTCTAGTTAAATTGCTTCCCTCACTATATCTCTGCCAAATGCCACGCTGGTGAGTTATGAGGTGGATGAGCCCCTAATTCTCCTTCTTTGCCCACAATTCTCTTAAGATCAATTGATAACTCACATCTATTGAGGTATGAGAAGGTCCACAGGACTTTTCAGGGAGGCAAAGATAACGGATTAGTATGTGTTGGTCTCTGGCTAGGTCCTTGTTTTTTAAGGCCCAACATGGGCTCACTGGGGATACAACCAGAAAAATAAGCTTCCAAAATAACGAGAGTTACACTTCGTTTCACAAGCTGGAATTGCCTAAGCTGCCTGCAACCCCTGAGGAAGAGGGGGTCAGGAGCCATTTTTGGCAAGACTGACTAGTTTGCTCCTCTGTCCTGATGGTAGAACACTGCCTTGTGTGAAGAATGGACAATGGCTCACGAATAACTACTGAGTGGGAAGAGGCTAAGCTTCCTTTCTATGGCATTAATAAGCATAAGGGGACATGGCTTAAAAGGGACCTTCTAAAAATTTTAAATTTTAATTTACTATTAAAAACTGGATATTGCTGTATTTATTCTGATTATAGATGTTTTTATTGTGTACAACGTGGTGTTTTGAAGCACACATACATGCGGAATGGTTAAATTTAGCTAATTAACAATTGCATTGTCTCACATAGCTATATTTGTGGTGGTAGCATTTAACATCCACTCTGCATTTTTTAGTAATACAATAAATTGTCGTTAACCATAGTCACCTCACTGTACAATAGATGTCTTGAAATTATTCTTCCTATCTAACTGAAATTATGCGTCCTTTGGCCAGCCTCTTTAAACTATAAAATTGAATGATTAAATTAATCAACATATTTGGAAAAAGACAACCCCCACTTCATTACATGATTACAATATGATTCATCACATGAATACCTTAACACTCATTTAAAGTTTTAGGTACAAAATTACTTAACTATTATGACCCTTTATTCTCTTATATTCTCAGGGTGTGTTTGAGTACTCCCACAAGCATAAAATTAAATAGAGGATGTAAAATTTAATGAGCACCTATAGTTTAATCCCTAACATCCTCCAATTTACCTTGACCCCTCTTTTTTTGCTCAGAGTCTTTTCCTCTCCCAACTTGACATCTACACTAAGTTCAAGATGTTTAATTTTGCATTCATTTCAATTTCATTCATAGACATCTTCCAGTATGCTTTTCTAGGGTTATAATCTTTGAACTGATATATCAAGAACGTGTTCAATCTACATAGCCTCTGGTCTTCTAAACTGCATATTTCCTAAGGTGATCAAATCCAAAAACATTTTTTGTTTTTATGTTTTTTGTTTTTATGGATAGACTATTCTGAATAAATCCATATGCAATTAAAACTTAATCAAGAGCAACAAGACCATTTAATATCTATAAACATCTCTAAAATGATACCTCTATGATGGCAGGACCTTGTCTATTTTTTCACCACTGTATGCTCTTTATCTATAACCTGGCTGGAAAATAGTGGTGCTCAATAAATGTGGAGAGGAGAGTTATATATCATTTTTAACTTCAACTATTTTATTTTTATGAAGACTGGAAGGACAGAATGCTCCTCAGGGACTAAGCCTACCCAACGCATTGATCTAAACTCAGCAGTGTGTGGCACACTGATGTGTGAGCATGTGAGTGAGCTTTGCTAGAAGTAAACTCATGATCATATTTGGACTAAGGAAAAAGAAAGTTTCCCTTCGCTGTTCTATTAATGGGAGAAATGAGGTGACCAACTGTGTCTGTCAGTCATTGCTGGGAGAGTGACAACCTTGGTCCTTGTAAGTGTCAAATTTTTTAACACTTTATAAATGTCAAACTTTAACTCTTCAAATATGGTTTGAACTTTTGACATATACATTTTAAAAGTTCATAATTCTTAAGGATTTTATTACCATGATTGAAGGAAATTTTCAAACTTGTATTTCTTGTCTGAGAATATTTTATTTTTGAAAACAATTTTCAAATCTGTTGATGAGTATTTTTTATTAACAACTAAGTCAACTCTGCTAGATAACCACTTTAACCTATAGCATAGACATAGATATATTCACAGTATCTTAAATATTCATGCTTCTGTTTGAATTTTAAATTGTCTAATTCACTGACAAGCTTATTGAAATTACGGGTTGGAAAGATACACTGAGAATATGAGTTTGTGAATTTTTAAGATAATAGTTAGGAATCTCTTCTACTGCATGAGTGGCTAATGTAGGTTGGCACATTAGCCATACCATCCTCATATTTATCTTTAAAACTGAGAAATATCATTTTTATCTTGTGTTTATAATTAGAAGGGGAGTTAGTATGCCCTCCTATAACAATGACAACATTAAGTAGCATTTTTCATTTAAAAAGAAAACAATATAAATGCACAATGCTTTGTAAACCATAAAACACTGCACAAATTTAAGTGGTCAAGTTAGCCTAAAAAAAAAGTTAATTTTAATTCTCAGGAAAATAGATGATTATATAAAAACAAAACAATGCAAGGGATTGAATGTGGTCTGAAATTCAAACAATTGCATAACAGATATTTGCTTATGGCATATTAAACTAAACTCTGTGTGTTTAGAAAAATTCTTAAGTGTAAATTTTAAAGGAGGTCAAGGTCAGTCCTGTCAATCATTTTTGTCCTAACTTCTTTCGTGCACCTTTTTGGGGTGTCTATCTAAAATTATATTAACAAATGTTCCAACTCACCTAATAACTTCATTAGCTCCTTTTCTCAAAGGAGCTTTTATCAAAGACTAGATTTCTAAAATACATTCACAATTAAATAGGTCCTTTCTCAATCTAGTGTTTCTTAATGTATAGTTTGCAGATCACCTGCCTCAGATTCACCTGAAGGTGATACTAAAATTTATGTGTGTGTATCTAATTCAATTTCTTACTTTGGTGAAATGACCTTAGCCAATTTGGGTGGTTAATAAATATCAATCTCTTTTTGTAAGTATTGATAGCCTTATTACGGATACCTTGGGGGATATTTGATTCTACCCCCCAAAATCTATTACTGAGAGATATATATTTAAATGAGGGCAAGTCTCTGGCCAAATTCCTCAGCTGGACAGTGTTATTAGCAAACAGGCACATAACTTATCTGAGGTTGCAGGATACCTGCAAGTGACACTAGCCACTTGGACCCCTTGCAACACTGAGGAATGGGACCTCTGTGCATGTGAGGCCTGGGATCTGTTTTTTTTTTTTTTTTTTTTTTTTTTTAACCAGGCATTTCCCTGGGGATATTTGAAAAACACATTTGGGCACTTCTACAACCCCTTTTTAAAGATTCTAAATGACATGCTGGACATGCCTTGTCCTTTAGGAAAACAGTGAATTAGTATTCATTTTAGCAGCCACTTCACAAAATACTCATTCTTGTATGAAATTAGTCTCTTTTCTCATCAGATTTCTTAAGTTTATAATGCATTTAGTAATATCCAGAGAAGAAATGATTTTTTTCATTCATTTTTGCCATACCCTTTCAACTCTCCAGTCAGTATGTTAAATATGGGCCAGTAGTCAGTATGTTAAATATGGGCCAGTAGCTTGCTCCGCAGTAGTGTCTGTATCAAAAGCTCAGGTCAGATCCATTATTAAGTAGAGGCAATGCTTTTTGGCAGGGGAAATATCCATTTTTGCATGCAGGAGGTTGCCATTTTAATTTGTTCTTATCTGATCCTCCTTCGAGTAGATTTATTTAAAAATAAAAAAGGAGGCAAGTGTGCTATTTGAACTAGCAGTTTGCAGAATGACACCTTATCCAAGGGCAGAGAGAGAAGTATATTATGGAGCTTCTCTTCACTGATCTTAAAATAGTGAACAAAAATTCATAATGGACTGAGGTGACATTTACAGTGTTCCTTCAGTCCCAGACTTCTTTTGCTTCACAGCTATTACATTAACCATAGAATTTTTTTCAATAGTGCTATTTCTTTTGTGTGTCTGTGTGAACCTGGGTTAATAACTCACCTTGAAGTTTTTTTTTTTTAAATGAGTATTAGAGATACAGGCAAGCAGCAGATACACTGTAAAAAACTTTATTTTTCCTGGGTGTACTTATCATACAGAAAGCTGTGTGGACTATGCTTGAGTAGGATGGGGGAGTTAACTGCAGCCAGAGAGAGAAGGACCCAGGGCTCTGCCAGAGCTTCCAAGACTTCAACTCATGGATGAAGCCTATTAGCTAATCAACCCTGAAGCCACAGGGCATAATCCTCCCTAGGGATTTTTCTGAG